TCACTTAACCTCCCCTCCGGTGAGAGTGCAGACTCCTGTTACTGTAACCGGGGGTGACAAACGGATCGACTCTATCAGAGTAAGCCTCCTGGAGGTTTGAGAGAGACATCTCCTCTCCTCCTGTATCGGCTTGAAGCATGTAACTCTGTTGGGAAGGTGACAACTCATCGTCTGCCATCCGCTCCCCGGCATGTTAACATTCATTTCCTCCACCCGGTGCGACTCCAGCGCAAATCAACCAATGTTCTCAGAGACGGAGAGAGGGCAGCCAAGAGCCCTGCAGCTTCAATCTATTCCCCTGCCAACTCCCCAGTCCTCTCCTGGAGTTTGATGTCATCCACCTCCATTTCTACATCTCATCCTCAACATCCTTCTCTCTCGTTCATCCCCTCCCCATTTATTCCTCTCGTTCTTACGTGCCGCTTTGAGAGAAGATGCATGATTTATGAAGCTCTATTTTTACCGGTTACTGAGGAGAAAGAAATAGAGGAGCGACAAGGAGAGAGAAAGAGGGGGAAATAATGGAGGGAAAGAGTGTGAAGAGCGAGCCCAAGGGGAAGGAGAACAGGAGAGTGTGGAGGAGACATCCATCACCCTGTGACCCCTCTGAGAAGAGACAGAGAAGGGAAGTAGGTTGAGACAGAAATATGATGGATCTGACCAAGAGCAGAGGAGATATACTGCAGAGAACATGTATTGTTACGCACTCGACACAGATGGGTGCTCTAAGTCCAACATCTCTTTTTATTATATTTTCTTTCTGTCATACAACACCTTTTACCAAGTATGTTTATGTTGTTGTCCCCTTTGTGAATACATTAAGCCCAGGGTGATTAAATCAAATCCAGTGGGGAAACACGAGCAATAATGAAAAGTCTGCTGCATTTTTATTACCTATTAATCCATTCAAACATGCAGGCAGCTGTAGATACAGGAGATTTAAAAGATGAAAAATATGCATTGTGTTGATCAAAGCCATTATGTCCGCCTGTATAATTGACCCTTTAAGAAGCATAAGTATATCATATTAATTTAAAGTTAGCAGGTTTTCTAATCACAATCCCTGTCTCAAAAGAGAGGATGTCAGATGTTCTCATCTAACTTCAGACAAGAATGCAAAGAAGAATGTTTCAAAAATGTCTTACTATTCCTTTAAAACTTTATTCTTGCTGATCATCATTTGTATGCAACATAATTATTGCTCATTTCATTACAAATCTCAATTACGCTTTTTCCTGAACACTTTCCTAAGAGATGTATCACATACCTAACAACTGTTTTTTTCCTTCCTCCTTAGAGGAAAACATCATTCAGTCCAAGAGATCGGAGTATTTCTGCTGCATCAGAACACTTTCTATCAAATCAAAAAGACATCATGCTTTAATACTGAAGCTTTTCACAGCTTTGAATGCTTCAGGAATTGCAAAACTCTGAGTGAAAAGTTTGAAATCTAAATCTATTTTCCTAACAAGTTCGTCTCCAACCTTGGAGCACAATCTGCTAATGCCTCGTTTTGAATTAGACTGCACAGCTCACTCATATGTTTTGGTGGATTCATTGACCTACGTGTTTGCTTTACAGGTTTTACTATACAGGAGAACTTCAAATGTGTGTCACAATATTAACAAATTATTATTCTCAAAATATTTTGGGGATTTTGTTAATCTCATTAAAATGGGGTTGAGATTCCGGAAGCGGAGGATTTACTAAATAGGCTTACTGAGCTGATTAGTAATAATCACATTTTCGACTGAAAGAATTTGAGCTTCACCTGAAACTTTGTGGGAGAAATATATTATGTCTGAACTCCATTTGATCAGTGTGTTTCAATGTGCTTGGAGTCCACACCTTATATTAATGCAACATATTCAGATGTCTCAAAATTCCAGTTTAAAGACAATAATCTAAAATGAAGGGCTACAATGTGTAATATCCCTATTAATTTAGACGTATAGTCAACAACATTCACATTTACTATAGATTATTCAATTGTATAGGCCTTTAAGGTGTTATTACTTGAAGTCACTTGTTATCTTCTCATTCATTTATGTCATTGTCGTGAGCAGCAATTTGCTCCAACAAAAAACCTTTTGCTCATTATTCAGTCCTATGAGGTAAAAAGGGAATTAATAAGCTACAGATCGTAACTTCTTGAAATATTAGCTAACAGCCATAACAACAGGTTGAGTTAGCTAAAAGCTGTATAAATATTGTTGAAACAGTTAGCTTAAAGCCATAAAAACTGGTTGAAACTCATTAATAAATCGTTGAAATGGTTAGCTAAAATGAATGGACGAGTGGCGTGCATATTACATTACATTACATTGCATTTAGCTGACGCTTTTATCCAAAGCGACTTACAATAAGTACATTCGACCAGGAAGATACAACCTTGAAGAAAACTGAATCATATACAGGACTGTCTCAGAAAATTAGAATATTGTGATAAAGTTCTTTATTTTCTGTAATGCAATTAAAAAAACAAAAATGTCATACATTCTGGATTCATTACAAATCAACTGAAATATTGCAAGCCTTTTATTATTTTAATATTGCTGATTATGGCATACAGCTTAAGAAAACTCAAATATCCTATCTCTAAATATTAGAATATCATGAAAAAGTATACTAGTAGGGTGTTCAACGAATCACTTGAATCGTCTAATTAACTCGAAACACCTGCAAGGGTTTCCTGAGCCTTGAAAAACACTCAGCTTGGTTCAGTAAACTAAATCACAAGTATGGGGAAGACTGCTGATCTGACTGCTGTCCAGAGGACCGTCATTGACACCCTCCATCAGGAGGGTAAGACACAAAAAGAAATTTCTCAAAGAGCAAGCTGTTCACAGAGTGCAGTTTCAAAGCACATCCACAAAAAGTCTGTTGGAAGGGGGAAATGTGGCAGGAAACGCTGCACAACCAAGAGAGATACCGCAGCCTTAAACAGCATTGGTGAAGAAGAGCGCTTCCAGAATTTGGGGGAGCTTCCAAACAAGTGGGACTGAAGCTGGAGTCCGCAGGTATCAAAAGTCACCTGTTCACAGACATGTCCGGGAAATGGGCTTACAATAGCCGTATTCCCATGGTCAAGCCACTTCTGGACTCAAGAACAACGGAAGAGGCGTCTGACTTGGCTAAGGAAAAGAACACTGGACAGTTGCACAGTGGTCCACAAGTCTCTCTTCAGACACAAGAGCAAAGTTGTTGTACTTCATTTGGACAGCTCAGGCCGCCAGAGTCTGGGAGAAAGGCCTGGGAGAGGAGCAACACATCCAAGTTGCTTGAAATCCAGTGTGGAGATCCCACAGTCAGCGATGGTTTGGGGGAACCATCGCTCAGTAGCTGCTGGTGTTGGTCCAACTGTGTTTCATCAAGCCCCAGAGTAAATGCAGCTGTGTACCAAGAGATTTCTAGAGCACAACATGCTCCCGTCTGCTGAAAAGCTTAATGGAGAATGAGGAATTCATTTTTCCAGCATGATCTGGCACCGCCCACAGTGCCAAAACCACCAGTAACTGGTGTACTGACCATGGCAATTACTGTCCTCGACTTGGCCTGCAAATTCACCTGACCTGAACCCCATAGAGAATATGTGGGGTATTGTGAAGAAGAAGCTGAAAATGACACCAGACGGCCAACAAATGCTATGAGCTAAAGGGCCGCGTATTGAAGCCATCCCTGGGCATCCAATAACACCTCAGCCAATGCACAGGCTGATTGCCTTCCATGCGAACGCCCGCATTGATGCAGTAATCCGTGCAAAAAGATTCCCCAACCAAGTACTGAGTGCATTAATGGACCATTTTCAACATGTTTTGATTGTGTTTTGCTGTTATTAATCTTTTTTTTTTACTTGGTCCTGACGAAATATTCTAATTTTTTGAGATAGTGATCTTTGAGTTTTCTTAAGCCTGTTATGCCATAATCAGCCAATATTAAAATAATAAAAGGCTTGGGGCAATATTTGCAGTCTGATTTGTAAATCGAATCCAGAATGTATGACATTTTGTTTTTTTAATTTGCATTAGCAGAAAATAAAGAACTTTATTCACAATATTCTAATTTTCTGAGAGCAGTCCTGTAAAGTACATCAGGTTTCATAGAGCCAACCATGTTCAAGTGCTACTCAACTGGCCTATTAGATACGCCTATCCTTTATTGAGATTATGATAAATGTTTGTTATAGCACATTCTGCTGGTTAAGTAATCTCTATCGCTCGAAGTGGAGTCGGGAAAGGAGATGAGGCTTTTGCAGGCTGCGCCGGAAGATGTGCAACTATCTGCTTGTCCTGATTTCGGAAGGAGCTGCTTCCACCCATTGTGGAGCCTCAGAGGTAAACCCACGGTGTTTTTTCTGATGGAACTTGGGCCCTCGCAGTGGCGTGGGCCGTGCAGCGAGCTGTCCTTTGGCTGATGCAGAGCTGAGTGCCACAATGCTGGTGACGGTTACCGGTTTAACCATGTCCTGGATGTAGGAAGGGCCAGATCCAGTTCACAGCCATGTACGCACGAGTACCAGTGCTTGAAGTGGATTCTAGCAGTTACTGACAATCATGTGATATGGGAGCGCGAGGAGCGCGTGGTGTGGGAACTTTGGTGAAGTTGAAGGACGAGACGAGGCCGCTGGCATGCTGAGGATGAGCGCAGATGTATCGTCGGATGGCACATGCAGGCAGACCAGCCAGGAGGCGATAGTGCAGTAGTCTAGGGTGAGACGACGAGAGCCTGGACAGAACACCTGCGACTGCGTTTCTGGGTCAGCTGGAGGAGCGCGTATCTTTTCCATTGCATCGTTCGAAAGCGGTGCTACTCTTACAGCGGGTTGTAGCAGCAAGATGCGTGCAGGTCGGGAAGGGACAGTTGGGTGGTCATCTAGGATCACACCCAGATCCTTGCGCAGTGTGGAAGTCGGAGAAACA